CTTGCTGGGCACGATAAGGCTTTTTTGTTTGTTTTGGCAGGGTTTTCTGGGGTTTTTTTGCTGTTGGGGGGGGTGCCTCTTTTGTTTAAGGCTAAGACTAGCCCAAGGTTGATTCTTCCTTAGAAGCCATAATCTCCATTTTTCTAATGAGCTGTAATTTACAGGCAAGAAGAAAAACAGAGCAGAATTTGAGGCCAAAGGGGTCCAGATAGTGGAATCCAAGGATGCCCAGGGATTCTCATCCAGAACAAGTGCTCACTCCAGCTGCACTGAAAGATTTCTCCCCCAGAGTTTCCTCAAGGGGAAATCAGCCATCGATCGTGGGACACACAAGTTCTAGGACCATTCCCTACCTCTGCCTCCAATTCCTGCTTGTGCTTTAATGTTTAAATTATTAAATGCATTAATGTATTTACATTATTCAAGTCTTATGTGCATTTTTCTAAGATAATTTATGTATAAGAGTTTGAATGTCCATGACTGTTAATGTCTACAACCCTTCCTGTTCATTATTGATTCTGGAAGAAAAAAAAAAGTCCGAGTTTTAATGCCTTATTTTTAATGTATTAAGAGTCTGAATAAGTGCATTCTTTTTTTTCTTTTGTAATTTCATAATTTAAGTAGTACATTTATTAAACTGACACAGTATGAATTGTGGTGAAGTCTGGCAAAGCGCCATGCTGCCGGCATGGCCGGACGGGGAATCACGCTACTCTGCAAATGGAATAGAGAGAGAGAGATGGAGAGAGATGGAGGTGGGGGGGGAAGGAGGGAGAGGGGGGAAGGCAGAGAAAGAGAGATATGGAGGGAGAGAGAGAGATGGAGAGAAGGAGGGAGAGAGAGGGAGAGTGGGGGAGGCAAAGAAAGAAAGAGAGGAGAGATATGGAGGCAGAGAGAGAGAGGAAGGAAAGGATAGAGAGAGAGAGGGAGGGAAGGAAGTAGAGAGGACAGACATGGAAGGAGGGGGGAGAGAGAGAGATTGAGAGAGGGAGGGAGAAAGGGGGGGCAGAGAAAGAGGAGAAAGATATGCAGGAAGAGAGAGAGGGAGGCAGAGAGCAGAGATGGAAGGAGGGGAGAGAAAGAAAGAAAGAGAGAGAAGGGAGGAGAGAGACAGGAGAGACAGAGATAGAGAGAGATAGAGACAGAGACACAGAGTGCTCTGCCTGCTTCCCTCCAGGCTTACCCTGGTCCTGCCTCTGCCCTCAAAGGAGGGCTGGCACAGAGAGAGAGAGAGAGAGAGAGAGAGAGAGAGAGAGAGAGAGAGAGCGCACACCATACCAAAAAGGCTTCTGCAAGTAGATTTCTCTCCAATTCCTCAGCAACCCCTCTCTGTGGTCCACCCTGTAGGTTCTTCACCTTGTCTGAGTCCAGACCCAAGGCTATCTGGTGAAACTCATGGACCCTTTCTCAGAAGAGTGTTTTTAAATGCCGGAAATAAAATATATTTGGCTATCTAAGAAACCAATTGTATTAAAATGCAGTTGTGTGCGTGTGTGTGAGCACGTTAGCAATCATGGACCCTAGCTTAAGGACCCCCGTGCTAGTCTATACTGAAAGCTACATTTCCAAAACGGGGTCTATTTGCTTTTTTTTTTTTTTTTAAGGCCAACAGTTTGAAGTTTAATCTAAACCCTCATTGGAATGAGTGCAGCAGCTTCCTGGCGGCTTCTGCCCAAGCTGCTCCTTGTGCTCAAGACACCTCCCTCTCCCCTCTGCCTGCTGGAATCCCTGGCTCTCTTCAAGTTTAAGGTCCTACATCCTCAGGCCCTTCCTGACCCCCAGGTTCTTGGGGCACTCTGCCTTCCCCATCACCGTGTCATTGGGTAGATATTCTGTACTCATTTATTTATACGCATGCCATTCTCTTCTTCCGCCCCCTAGCAGATTGTAAGCTCCTTGAGGGAAGGCTCGGTCTGGTGCCTGCCACATCAGAGGCAACTCATAAATGCTGGGACTGAATGCATCCATGAATCCAATTACTGCTTTAAAATCAGCAGGAGAGCTTTCCAAAAAATAGTTTTTGAAAAGAATGGAGATGCAGGTCTATCTGAGACATCTTTAGAGAGAGATCCCAAAATGAAAGTCTCACAGTTCACAAACACCCCAAATTTGGGCAAGGAAACTTTACTGTGCACAAGCCCAATTATTAAGAACAGGGGAGAAAGCAAGCTCCCTGAGCCCTCGTCGGTGGAGCAACAGTGACACCCAATGGCTTGTTATCCCGGCCCCAGAACCCTCTCTCCCCCAGTGAATTTCCCCCGGGGTGTGTCTTGGGCCGTGATTTCGAAGCTGCAATGACAAGCTCTGGGCTACTCCTCATCCAGAGGCTGGCTTGCCTGTCCGTGCCTTTCCTGTTGGCCCAATGAACACACACACTGCATGCAACTCTGCATGTGTGTGCAGAGAGAGCACAGGGCATTACCCAAGTAAGCACCTCCCCCCCGGTCACCAGGGCTCCCTGGCATGGTGCACGACATACCCTGGCATGGCGCATGATGTATCCTGGCATGGGGGCTGTACCACGCTACATACAAGGAGTCCCAAAGTTTTTGGCAGCTGTTTTAAGAGCTGACACAACCATTTCCAAGGTTAAGTTTGCGTGTTTTTTTCTTTTTCTTTCTTTTCTTTTCTTTTTTTTGCTACTCATTACCATTCTTTAACTGTTACAATTTATATCAGCATATAATGTTAAATAATTACAGGGAGCAGCGCTCACTCTAGTGAGGATATAAACGCGCTGTGGGAATCTACAGATTTAAACAAATAACACTCCCAGCAGGGGGTGAGCAGATGAATTAGCATTAATATCCTGCCTGGGAGATCCCAGCGCACTGGTCCTGCTTAAATACAGATCTTTTCTGTAACAGTCAATATGACAGCTCCCGGCAATGCGGCCCCTTCCCTCTGCCCAGTCAATATAGCAGCCAGTGAAAATAGAAACGTCCCTACAGCAATCAATATAGCAGCCAGCTAAAATAAACCCTTCCCTTTTAGGGGCTATATAATAGTCAGCTAAATGGAAGAATTGGCACCCCTGCCGGAGCGCTTAGCAAAGGAGCCAAGGAGCTCACGGGCCATGAACACTAAATGAGCCTCCGCTCTTCCAAGAGGCCCGGCTCTGGGATGGAGAAGGCGCCTGCCTCGGGGAGCCCAGAGGGAAGCCGAGGAGGGCACAAGGCAGGATCTTCCTGGGCCCTCGGCAGCCAAAGTCCCCTTCCCCAATAGGTAATGGGGCACTGATCGCTGGGGCTTCGTTAAATGGAATCCATGAAGTGTGGAAGAGGTGGCAATACTGTCACAGCTGGCATGTCTGGCTCCAGGGGGAGTCTGAGTGGTCTGTGCCCCTCAAAAAGGGCAGCTTTCCAGCCAGAACACGGATTCATGCACTAGTCAGACACACCAGCTATCTGGGTGAAAAACAACACACCATACCCTGTGGGGCTGTGTGCCCAACCCTATCCCATTCATTTTTTTAACTTTCAGCTACCAACCCACAAACTCATAATATTAATGTGGGATTTCTCCTTGCACAAAACATAAGAAATTTTAAAAATTAAAAAACAAAATCTCCCTCCTCTGGGAAAATACAACAAAGACATTTTCGCAAGAATGGGATGCTGAGGATGACTTTACCTTGGGAACACAAATGTGCTGAAGGGTTCTTAAGGAGTGAAGGTGAGTTCACCTGGATAAACAGATTGCTCTAAGTATGAAGCTAGCATCCCTTCTGTTTTTAACTGGCTACTACTCAAAAGGGGTCTTGCTGAATTTAAGGATTTGACAACTGTAGAATTTTACTACCAAAAGCTCTAACAACCATGTGGTCTCCAATCGCCAATTCCAAGAAGTTAATACCGGGATTGTGTTACACTCCAAAGCAGATGAACAACAGGGACCCTGCAGTCATTAAAATTTCACAATCTGTCTTCGTCCTCCGGGTAAAGCCAGTGAGGGTCCCTGTTTCCCTAGCCAGGTGTTTAACACCCAAGGAGGCTCCTGTTCTCGGTCAGGTGACTCACTCAAGCAACACAGGGCCACGTAACAGGAAGAATGCATCCGGCAGCTCCTCGAAGCCCTGGTTTCAAGTGGTCTTAATAATTCAGATCCTGTACCTTTTCAGAGCTACCAAGATTGAGCAGATGTGTTTTCTATGCCAATGAAATAAGACATTAAGCATGGTCATAGACCAGGAGTTTTTTGAAAAATATTGTGGTAACTATTTCAAAATAACTGGTTTCCTTTGTAATGTTATGTATTTTATTTCATACATTAAAAAGCCTCTTGAGGAAGGGTCCATCAGTTTCAGCAGACTGCCCCAGGGGTCCATGAGGAAAATGGCTGCGTGCCTCTGGACTAGAGATCCTCGCAGTGACACAATTCTCAGTGACGGATTACCAGTGCATCCAGGTCCTACAGGACGGCCACTAGAAGTTCTAAGTAGGAGGCCTGAGCCACGCCCCATCACCCTCTTCTAGCAGGTCCAGTGCTTAGCGGCTGCAGCATCGAACCCAACAGGTCCACAACAAACTCTGCCGTGTGTGTGTGTGTGTGTGTGTGGAGCATTTCCATCTCCAAACCACATGCAGAAATGTGAAGGTGGGGGTGGTGCTTTGTGCATTCTTCCTCAATCCCTGAATAAGAAGCCTTCGGCAAACTCACTATGACGTTGGCAAAACTATTTCAACTACAGACGCCATTAAATACATCCGAGAAAGAAGGGGGAGAGATGGAGAGTAAGAAACAAAGAGCTGGGAGAAACATGGAAACTAAGGAAGAGGGGGATGGGAAGAGCAAAAGAAAAAATGGAGAGACAGACTAGAAAAAGAGAAAGGATTCAGAGTCACAGAAAGGAGGGGGCTCAAACAGGGGGCTCTCGACTGAGCATCTTCAGCAGCAGGCTTTGCAGTGTTTCATGAAGTAACAGTGGCAGTAAAACAGGTATCCCAGTGAGTCACCTGCTTCTGAACTTCTGAGTCCAAAGGGGCTGTTTCTGGCCAGCCTGACAGCTCCAGTGCCAGGAGTGGAGGGAGGTAAATAAGAGATGAGAGACAGGAAAGGAAAGGGAGGAAGCTGGCTCCCTGCTGTCACTTGACACAAAGGCCACTCCAAGATTTCACCCACAACAGCAGAAAGGCCCCTTCCATAAACAGTGCATGCTCTCTTCATGTGGTGGGGTCAGCGGCAATGTGTGTCCCCCGGCAGGTGGGCGCCCCTCGGAGGAGCCCAGAGCCGGGAAGCACACCGGGGCACTCCTAAAAAGGGGCCTGGGGAAAGCACCCCTTGGCCCCCAGAATCTGTTGCTCACTGCATGGACTCAACAGCCAGAGGGATTCCAAAAGGTCATTGACACTGCAGCATCCCCGCTAAATCACCAATGACTGGACTCCTGATGACAGAAGAGGATGAACAGGATCTAACAAGTCCGTGAGTCACAAAGACCCCATCCCATGAGCACCGGGGGACTTTGTGCTTTTAAAGCCTCTTTGTCAGCTGGCACCTCACTCATTCGGCCTTGTTGGGGGGCAGAAGGTTTGGGGGATTTTCTGCCATTTGTTTAATTGTTTTTGTGGATGACAAGGTGACAATAACCCCCTATTTGAGGGAGGCTGGGTTAGGGACGGCGTGTACTTTGTATTTGCTGTTTCCCCTCCCCCCAGAACATAAGCTCCTTGAGGACAAGGAGGGTCTCATTTTTGCTTCTGTGCCATCCAGGATCAAACACCACCTGGCACTTAGGAAATGCTTCCTGACCTGAACAATTTTTTTTAATGTTAATACCATGGTTTTCAGTGTCACTTCTGGGTTGCTTACATCCCCAGATGATGACCTGTTATTTAAGGTGATGATATTTTCCATATGGTTCCTCCCTTTCATAGGGAAGCAGACAAACCTCCCCACTGCCCAAGCCTCATCTTTTCCATGACTGTCCCAGGCACTTCCAGCCCAATGAGGAAGCACACACCTTCCCTAGGCTCCTTCCCCTGCTCTGTTTACATGTAATTGGTAAGTCAGTGACAAGGGGGCCAGTTAGCTTGGAGACAAAGGAGATGAAGGAGAGGCCGGAGGCTAGCAATGTTAGAGGCATGCATGAGCACAAAGCCAGACTCTATTCCACACAATTATTTCTACCAGGTTTTTTTTTTTTAAAGTCATTCAGAAAATAAAAAGTGAAAGAATAAAATAAAAGAGAAACTCAATTTTCCTTTCTCTTCCTCCCCAAACCACACTTAGGATAAAATGAGGTTTGAACAAGTTAATCCTTATGAGGTAAGAAAAAATGATTAAATACATTAAAAAATCAATTGTACATTAAACACAATCCAGGAACTGCAAAAAAACAAACACCGCAGCTTTCAGCCAGGAGGTATGAGCGATGCAATGCCAAGTCAGGAGCGGGTACCCCCACGTGATAGAACTAGTGAAGGTAGAAGGAAACAAACAGAAAATGGAGGATACAAAGGGCGGTGGGGGGAGGGGGGCCCAAGAGACAGAGAGACCCCGAAACCTGATTTCACTGGAAATAAAGTTATTTACAGACAATAAAAAGGAAGGGGAATGTCTACAAGGAATAAGGCTCTGGAGACCAGATTTGAAGCACTAAAAAGTCCAACAGAAATAGCAATAATCATCATCATCATCATCATCATCATCATCGTTTGACCAGAAGAAGTTACAAAACACTCAGCTGCCCAAAGATTTGTCTGGACTCTCTAGTTATTCCTCCTGTTCATTAACAGATTCTATTAACTGCCTTTTTGCATGCAGACAACTGTGGCACAGGAAGATTAAGAGATTCTGCAGCTCTGCAGGAGGGGGCTGTCCGAAGTGGAATTAGAACTCAGTGCTCCAGGCCCTGCGATGAAAAGGCCACGGAAACGCCCAGTCAGCATTTTGGTCCCATGGCTGCAAGAGGCTGCCAGTCACCTTCAATAGCTGTGTCAGTAACTGAGAATTCTTGACTAATCCTAAATAAATCCCACATGGTTGAAATGTCATGGCTAATTTGCTTCTCTTGGTGTAGTGCGACCATTCTGTTCTGCCTGCCCCCGCCCTCGTCCTTTGTGTCATCTGATAATCTCTGGCCTTCAGCCACACCCCTGACAGCAGGGGCCACACACGGGCAAGATGGTCTGGTGCTCGGGGCGCTAGCTGATCTCTGGCCAATCCGTGCTTATGGCTGGACTGGCAGGCCTGGTCTCCAGAATCTAGGAAGCTGGTAACACTAACGACTTCTGGACAAATCAATAGCAACAGGAATGATAATAAAAATAAAGAGGGCACATTTCCTCATCAGAGGATGGTCTTGGAGGGGGAAGGATGCCGGACCAGGAGACAGCGTGGGTCAGAATCCAGCCATGGGTGGCCAGGGGTCAGTCGGGAACCTTCCGTTCTGAGGCTCTATCTCTTCATCTATAAAAAGAGGATAATAACGAGCCCCCCACCCCTCACATGGCAGTCGGGGAGACTCAAATGGGAGAACGTAGTAGGCAAAAGGCCTTGTAAACTTTCAAGTGCTATAGAAATATTTAACTACAATAATTACAATTGGTGCAACTATTATTCTGGACACTTTACAAATGCAGAAGTTGAGGCTCAGAAAGACTGAGTGAATGACCCCAAGCCAACACACCTCAGAAATGCTGGTGCCAGAATTCACACTCGCGTCTCATGACACCAGGTCAGCCCTCTGCATTACACCCAAGAGAAGGTAGCTCAGGCGGGAGGGGTACAAAGGGAGGAGAGGAAGTATTTGGAGGACAGTTAAGCAGGTACACCAGAATAACATTCCCAACAGAAGCTTGGTCAAACTGAATGAATCAACTTATTCATTCTCAAATGAATGAACGAATGAATGAAGCATTTATTATGTGCTTACTAAGTGCAAATAGATACAGAGAAGAAAATCAGACAGGCCCTGCTCTCAGGGAGCTCCCACTCTAACAGGGAAGCCTGTTGAAGCCACATGAAGGCTTTGGTCACAGGTCGGATGAGAAGGTCCCATGGTCCCAGAGGGACAGTGGCAAAGCAGATGGTCATGCCCTATCTTTAATGTCATTTCCACAGATACAATCCTCTCGGTTTCAGATGCAGAGCCATTTGACAGGGCCAAGAACCCTCTTCTCTGGGCCTACAACCCTGCAGGTGCCACTGGAGGCTGCATCTCCAATGGATCCAAGATGGCACCAGGCGCCAATGCCCAGAGGTCAACAACAGCTAACCTTTCTGCACTCTAAGGGCTTACAGAGCACCTCCATGTATCATCTCTCTCTACCTTCATAACTCCAGGAGGGAGGTGCTACTATTATCTCTATTTTACCGATGAGGAAACTGGGACTGACAAAGGGGAAGTGACTTGCTCAGGGTCACACGACTAAGTTGTGAGGCAGCATTTGGACTCAGGTCTTCTTTGCTCTGCTCACCATGCCACCTGGCTGCCATCTATTGTCAGGGCCTGGCACCGAGCTCTCGTTCAAGCCCCCAGAGGGATCAGTGATCCCTCCACACCCACACAGACCGGCCCATCCTGGTGTGTCCCCAGGAGCCTTCACGCTGGGGTCTTTGGCCAACACAAGGAGAAGAGAGAGGAGCATCAAGGCAAAACCGGGGATCTGATTTTACTCTCTTGGCTTCCAAGACAGCATCAGTCTAGTTAAAGAAAGCAGATTCCTTTAGTGGCTCCACATTTGAGAAGGAGTCAAGCTGTTTAATGCACATATGCATTGATGGAAATAGGACAAAGAGGCAGAAATGGAGAGAGTTGGTTTTTTCCCCCTGCATTTCTGTTTGTTAGTTCTGTGCAGCCAGATGAGTCCCCAAAGATCTCTACAAGGCTGCCTTAAGAGGCAGGGAGTGAAATTCTAGATTTCTCATTTTGCCACTTAGAGATGCAACTACAGGCAACTGCTGCCCCCTATAAGCAATCACGCACATCACACCTCGCTGCATACATGGAAGATGAAAAGGTCCTATTATCTCACCTCAATCCCACAACCTGTCATCAGGGAAGTACATGGAGTGCAGACGCCTCCTCCAAGCACACCGTCACCTGTGATAAATTAATAGGTGCCCTTTTCAACAGGCAAGATGCATACAAAGGGTTCCCAGCTTCCCGGGGAGGGCTCCCCTGGCAGCCGACCTGCCAACAAGTACTGAATTACCAGCTGGCACCTAAACCCAAGCCAAAGAGAAAGGAGTGTGTGAGTGTGTGTGAGTGTGTGTGTGCATGGGGATTATAACCTCTCCATTTACATGAGAGCTCTTTACAATGAAATCTGCAAAATGAGATTACAGGTTGTCAATACGTGTCACCTACTGTGGGGACTGAGGAAAAACCTTGCATCTGAGAACCCCAGACTGAAGAGAAACCAGCACCCCCACCCCTCACGCTGCTGGGCTGGCCCTGCCTCCCCAGCACCCACTGGGTAAGAGGCTCCTGCTGCAGGGGGGAGATGGTCAGTGGCCCAGAACCCTGTGCACCCAGGTTACTGCCAAGGTACGAGGTCGCCAGCCTGATCCCGCTGCTTCCCCTGACAGCAGGAACTGAGCCTGACTAACATCTCACTGGGGGCTATGAGTTAGGCCTTCCCTGGCTTGGACTGTCAGGGAATGCCCCTAGAAAGATTTACTTAGAGAATCACTCAGTGTCATCTGCGTCTCTAGGCTGTTCCGACAAACTCAGGATGGCAGAAGGAAGATTTGTAGAGCAAACAGCATAAATCTTAGTTATAACTACACACCATAAAAGAGAGGAGAGCTGGGAGGAGAGAGGGAAGGGCAGGGAATATGCCCGCCTACACACTCCCCATCTCCCCGAGGCTTTCCATCGCAAAGAAGTCAAGCAGAGCAAGGAATCTCAGGAGTTCTCCAAATGTAGGGTCCATTCTGGGAGCTAGTCTGAAGCAGCCAATTGAAATGCTCATCCTTCCGTCCAAATTTCCATAAGGAAACATAAAATTCATTTAACACAGTGGCACACTTCTAAAGGAGAATTTTTCTGAATGGGACGAAGATGAATTTCAGACAAAAATAAAACTTTTCACAAAGTCCCTCAATTCTCCCCAAATGAGAATTTTCTAAATCACATTTTCATGCTGAGATGAGGGACTAAAGCCTAAGATGGTGAAAAGGGAAAGAAGGGAAAGGGAAAGAATGCAGCAAGAATGTCGGGTGAGAAGCCAGGACTCCTGAGTCTCTCAGCCTAATCTCTCTCCTGAAAGTAGCTTGGGGAGCCAGTCAGTCAGTGATAAGTATTTACTTAATGACTGCTATGTGCCAGGCACTGAGCTAAACGGTGAAGATTCAAAGAAAGGCAAAGGACAGTCCCTGGCCTCTAGGAGTTCATTACCTGATGAGGCATAAAACATATAACAACTATGTTCAAATAAGCTATGTACAGGAAAAACAGAAAATAATCCACAGAGAAAGAAAATTAGAATTCAGAGAGTTCGGAAAAGGCTTCCTGTAGAAAATGAGATTTTAGCTGGGTCTTGAAGGAAGCCAAGAGGCAGAGATGAGGAGGGAGGACATTCCAGGCATGGGGGACAGTCGGAGAAAATGCCTGGAGCTCGGATATGAAGGGTCTTGTTCAAGGAACAGCCAGGGAGGCACAGTGTCCCTGGATTGAAGAGTATGTTGGGAGATGAAGGGCCATGGCGGGTGGGGGTGGGGAAGGAGATGGAGCATAAGAAGAAGTACAAGAAGGTAGAGGGTGGCTAGGTTATAAAGGGCTTTAAATGCCAAACAGGATTTTACAATTGATCCTAGAGGTGATAGGGAGCCATAGAAATTTACAGAGTAGGGGAGTGAAAGGGCCAAGCTTCAGCTTTAGAAAAATCACTTTGGCAACTGAGTGGAGGGAGAAATTTGCGGCAGGCAGAGCAACTAGTGGCTGCTGTGAGGAGACAAGGGACTGCACTGAGGTGCTAGCAACATCAGAGGAGAGAAGGGGGTGGGGGGTATTTAAGGAGAGTCACCAGGCCTTGGCAACAGACTGGATAAGGAGGGATAAAAACTGGAAGGAGTGGAGGAAGGCACCTGCGGGGAGCCTGGGGTCCAGGAGAATGGTGGTCCACTCCACAGTAACGGGAATGTGAGGAATGGGAGGGGACCTGGGGGAAGGAGGGGCATATGTAGTTCTTTAAGATGTTTACTAGGCAGCTGAGGATGAAGGACTGAGGGTCAGCAGAGAGGCTGGGGCAGGGTAGGCAGGTTTGAGAATCATCAGCATAGAGATGGTCATTAAATCCAGATCACCCAAGTGGAGTAGTCCAGGGAGAGAAGAGCAGAGGGCCAGGCCAGAACCCCTAGGGCCACTGACAGTTAGAGGGGGCCCACGAGGCCCGGGGAAGGGGAACACTACTCCAGAAATGGGGGCCAGCCTCAAAACGAACCTCCGCTCCTTCCACACCTGCCACACGAGCCAGTCTGAAGCCATCACTCGGTAGAATCAACAACCTTTTGATATTTAATAGACGAGAGGATACTGTGAGTGAGGTCCTGGGTCCCAAGGTTCTGGACAAGAGGAGGAGACAATCTTCTCTCTCTGACACTCGGGCTGCCAGAGGAAGAAGCCCAAGGGCACAGGGCTAGGAATGGCTCCTAGTCCCAGCTCTGGTGCAGAGAGAAGAACAAGCCCGTCCCCTTCCTCCAGGCCTGTGGGTCTGAGTCCAGCATGCTGTTCTCGACTGCGTGAGCCAGGCCGTGGAAGGTAGGAGCGGCTGTCAAGACCAGCCCTGGTCAGGACATGTGTGGGGGAGGCTGGCACACCAACGGAGCACGTAGATAGGAAGTGACAAAGCTTCATTAAGGAGAATCCTCACAAGAAGAAGAGGCGGTCAGTCAGTGGGTCAACAAGCATTACAAGTACTTACAATGTGCCAGACACTGTCTAAACATCAGAAAGATGAAGAAAGGTAAAACCCAGTGCTCTTGAGGGGCTCAGAGCAATCGGGGAGGTAGCACCAACAACTGCCCTAAGGAGCTATCTACAG